TAAAATTGACAAACCTTTAGCAAGACTAACCAAGAAAAAAAGAGGAGAGTAAAATAATCAGAGATAAAAAAAGGAGGCATTACATCTGATACCATAGAAACACAAAAGACCGTAAGAAACTACTATGAACAATTAATTATATGCCAACAATATGAAAAATCTAGAAGAAATGGATAAATTCCTAATCACAAAAACCTATCAAGGGTGGGGCAGGTTGGGAGGAGGGGTGAGAGTTAAAGACTGCATATTGGGTATAATATATACCACTCAGGTGATAGGTACATGAAAATCTCAGAAATCATCACTAAACAAAGTATCCATGTAACCAAAGGCTGCCTGTAACCCAAAAACTATAGGAATAGAATCAATTTATCAAACCTGCCAAGACTGTATTAAGAAGTAGAAAATATGAAACAACAAATAATGAGTAATGGGATTTGAAGTAGTAATAAACTCTTCCATTAAAAGATAGTCCAGGACATGATGGCATCATTGCTGAATTCTATAAAATATTTCTAAAAGAACTAATATAATTTTTCACAAACTATTCCAAAAAATTGAAAAGGAGGGAACTCTTTCGAACTTATTATATGAAGCCATAATTACACTGATTCCAAAACCAGAGAAAGATATAGCAGCAATACAAGTACTTGAGGTCAATATCCCTCATGAACTTAAATGCAGAAATTGTCAACAAAGTACTAGCAAACCAAGTTTAACAACATATTAAAAAATTTCAGCAGGATCACATCAGGGATGCCATATTTCAACATATGTCAATCAATAAGCATGATACATTACATCAATAGAATCAGAAAAATTATATGATCATTTCAATAAATGAAGATGCATTTGACAAAATTTAACACCTCTTCATAATAAAAACTCTCAACCAATTGGGTATAGAAATAACATGTTTCAACATAACAAAGGCCATGTATGAGAAATCCACAGGCAGCATAACGCTGAATGAGGAGTTGTTGAAAGCTTTTCCTTTAAGATCAGGAACAATATGAAGGTCCCCACTCTTACCAGACCTATTCAACATATTACTGGAGGTCCACAAAAGACTCTGAATAACTAAAGTGATTCTGAGCAAAAGGACAAATCTAGAGACATCACACTACTTGACTTAAAAACATACTACAAAGCTATAATAATCAAAACAGCATTGTATTGGCCACAAAAAAAAAAAAAAAGTAGAAAAGACAAAAAGATCAATGGAACAAAACAGAGATCCCAGAAATAAATTCATGCATTTATAACCAAATGATTCAAAAAAGATGCCAAGAACACTAATTGAAGAAAGCTCGGTCTCTTCAATAAATGGTGTTAGGAAAACTGAATATCCACATACAATAGAATAAAGCTAGAGCTCTATTTCTCATCACATACAAAGTTCCATTCAAAATAGACTAAAGAGTTAAATGTGAGATCTGAAACTATGAAAGTACTAGAATAATACAAGAAGAAATGCTACATAACTTCAGTCTGGGCAAGGATTTATTAGGTGAGATCTCAAAAACACAGGCAACAAAAACAAAAATAGAGTAATTACATCAAATTAAAACATTTCTGCATGACAAAGGAAGCAATCAAGAGTCTAGGGAGAAAACCTACAGAATGGGCAAAAATATTTTTGATTAATATCAAGAATTTATAAGGAACTCAAACAATTCAATAGGAAAAACCTAATTTAAAAATGGGCAAAATACCTGAATAGACATTTCTCCAAGGAAGATATAGAAATGGCCAACAGTTATATCCAAAAAATGCTCAATATCACTAACAATCAGGGAAATGCAAATAGAAGCCAAATTGAGATATCACCTCAACTCAGATAGAATGGGTATCATCAAAAAGGCAAAAAAAAAAAAAAAAGAAAAAAGTAAGGGCTGGCAATACTGTGGAGAATGGGAAAGTTTTATACACTGTTGGTAATGTAAATTAGCACAGGGATTATGAAAAACAGTATGGCAGTTCCTCAAAAATCTAAAAATAGATCTGTGATATGATCCAGCAATCCCACTACTGGGTATAGGGCCAAAGGAAATGAAATAAGTATGTTGAAGAGTCATTCTGCACTTCCATGTTTATTGCACTATTCATATTATCCAAGGCATGGAATCAACCTAAACGCCATCGACAGAGAAAAGGATAAAGAAAATGTGATGTATATATACGTAATGAACTTCATTCGGCCACAAAAAAAGATGAACTCCTGTCATTTGCAACAAAATAGTTGAGCCTGGAGAACATTATGTCAAGGTAAATAAGCTAGGTACAGAAAGAAAAATACTGCATGATATCATTCATGTGAAGAATCTAAACAAATTGATCTCAAAGGCATTGAGAGTGGAATAGCAGTTACCAAAGACGAGAAAAACAGGGGAAGTGGAAGACAGGGAGAGGTTTGTTAATGAGTAAAGTGTTAAAGTTAGGTAGGAAGAATAAGTTGCTGGTAATTATTGTGTAGTAGGGTGACTATAGCTAACAACAATGTATCTTTCAAAAAGCTAGAAGAGAGGATTTTGAATGTACTCACAATAAAGAAATAATAAATGTGTAAGGTGATCAATATGCTAATAACCATGATCTGATCATTACACAATGTATACATGTACTGAAACATCATATTGTATTCCATAAATATATATGATTATATGTGTATGTGTTTATGTGAGTGCATATGATCCCATCAAATTTGTTATATGACACCTACAAACCTAGCAAATGTGTGGTTTTCCTCAAGTTTCTGTTTGTGTGATTAATGTTTCTTTTCTCTAGTTTACAGACTGGGGAAACATTAATACATTTATTAATTATGTATATTAATACTATTTTATATATGTGTGTATGTGTATGTGTGTGTATATATATACACACTGGAAGTTATATATATGTGTTTGTGTATATATGTGTGTGTATATATATGAAGTTACATATACGTGTGTGTGTACATACAGGAAATTACATATATATGTATTTGTGTATGTATATATATAACTTTCAGAACATTTCCCAGATTCTAGTAATATTTATTTTGTGTGACTTTGCTACACTCAGGTATACCTTGTCTTATCACATGGCTTTCTGTCTATCATGGAATACTAGCATCATGTGGAATATTTTAAAGATGTCCAAGCTATATCACAAATGCTTGAATTCAGAATCTCTAAAGTAGGTCTATAATTACATTTGTTGAAAATATATTTTTCCAAATCCTCTCCAGCACCTGTTGTTTCCTGACTTTTTAATGATCGCCATTCTAACTGGTATGAGATGGTATCTCACTGTGGTTTTCATTTGCATTTCTCTGATGGTCAGTGATGACGAGCATTTGGAGAGGATGTGGAGAAATAGGAACACTTTTACACTGTTGGTGGGATTGTAAACTAGTTCAACCATGGTGGAAAACAGTATGGCGATTCCTCAAGGATCTAGACCTAGAAATACCATATGACCCAGCCATCGCATTACTGGGTATATACCCAAAGGATTATAAATCATGCTGCTATAAAGACACATGCACACGTATGTTTACCGTGGCACTATTCACAATAGCAAAGACTTGGAATCAACCCAAATGTCCATCAGTGACAGATTGGATTAAGAAAATGTGGCACATATACACCATGGAATACTATGCAGCCATAAAAAAGGATGAGTTCGTGTCCTTTGTAGGGACATGGGTGCAGCTGGAAACCATCATTCTCAACAAACTTTTGCAAGAACAGAAAACCAAACACCGCATGTTCTCACTCATAGGTGGGAACTGAACAATGAGATCACTTGGACATGGGAAGGGGAACATCACACACCGGGGCCTATTATGGGGACGGGGGAGGGGAGAAGGATGGCATTGGGAGTTATAACTGATGTAAATGACGAGTTGATGGGTGTAGCACACCAACATGGCACATGTATACATATGTAACAAACCTGCACATTATGCACATGTACCCTAGAACTTAAAGTATAATAAAAAAAAGAAAATATATTTTTACACTTGACTCTCATACAAAAAAAATCTTCAAAACAATTAAGAATAAGAAACTACAACCTCTAGCATTCATTACAGTAGAGTTGTTGCTACTAGAAAATGCAATATTTAAATGTTTGATCTTATTTTCCCTCTGTCTTGCCTGGCTTGTAGAGATGTGGAAGATATCTTTTTGTGCATGATGAACCAACAAACAAGTATGCAAGAGAGTGACACAGATTTTATTTCTCTCAGAGAACAGACAGATGCAATGAAGACACATCTTATCAATGGGTTTTGTTTCTCAAGTCAAAGTCAGCTTTTCTTAAACCATTTCCATAGGCCTAGTAGAAACTTAACACATGCTATAATATGTTGCCTGACAATTATACCTTGCAAATATTTGAATATTTCTATTTTTTCAGTAGTATCTTAATGGGATGTTGGAAGAAAACATCAAGGTGGTTAGCAAACACAATTTCAAATTATAAATTAATAGTATTCATAATTTCTGAGTAATGTACAATTTAACATGAAAAAAAGATATCATTGTAGCATAAAACCTGGCTAGATTTTAGGCCCAAGTAAAATGTCTAAATGGTTTTGTTTTGTTTTAAAAAAGGCGTCAGGCGTTTCTCCTTATTTAGGCTATTAATCTATCTCTGCCTTTTTACTTCCACTGTATCCTAGTCATTGGTTTTATTAAGAGTTACAACTACCTGAGCAAGTACTTTTTCTTCTATTACATATTAACTATTCCTCTCACTTTAAATTTTTATGAATCATGTATTCTAAACTACAAATGCATAGCTATGTCCTAACCATGGGTACCATTTTTTATAGTTTGTTTCATTATAAATTCGTAGGCTTATTCATTGTTGCATCATAAGTGAAGAATGTGGGAATTCTCAGTGAAAAGACTCAGAACACCACAAAAGGAACATCTTACTGAATCAATGCATTAGTTGGAAACAGCAGCAAAATAGCTTGTTTTTTCTCCCCTTAATTACACGCTTTACTATTCTTCAGTAGATGGTGCAAACTGTTCACTGTTATTTAAGAATTCTAAGTTTGCTTCATCCATTACTTGTCTTTCATTTTCTGACACTTTGGTATCCTTTCCACGGAATTTTTTCTTTACAATAAAAATAAATACAGTAAGTAAAACAAGTACCGGGAACACTAGGGCTACCTTCAAGCCGAAGAAGGCTCTTCTGTGAAAAAAGAATAAGGAAAATAGATTATTAAATTGTGTAAAATATTTTACATTTTTTTCTCCCCAGTATGCAGACCTTAAAAGAAAAAACAAACAAACAAACAGAAGTTATACACACAAATATTAAGAAAGCAATTCTGTTTATTCTTTTCATTGGGACATAAAATTCTGTCCTATTGTTATTATTATTTTTTTTAATATGAAGCTACTGAAACTAAACTCCAGCTGTCTCTAGCCTTCCTCTGGGAGGGAGAAAAATATACAGCTCCAACCCCCTCAAACCATCTCATTCTACCTAAGGGCGGGAGAGAGAAACTGAAAAGCAAGTTTGAACTTCACAATCCAGAGTTATAGTCTCACTAAAAAGATTGAGACCTTATCATAGAACTGTAGAATGCTACTTTTTCTCCAGCACCTTACACCACATTAATAAACGCTTATATACAGCCGTTCCTTTTACCCAGTACATTTTGTCTGGCTGTCAAGAAAAAATTGCAAGTCTCATACTAAAAGGCAATAAACACAGTCTGAAAAGAATAAGATTGAAAGCCAGATCCAGGTATATAAGGGATGTTGGAATTATCAAAATAGAAATTTAAAACAACTGTTATTAATTTGCTAAGGGCTCTAATGAATAATGTAGACAGCATGCAAGAACAGGTGAGCAATGTAAGCAGGGAGATAAAAATTCGAAGAACCAAAAAGAATCACTAAAGATTAAAAATACTATAACAGATATGACAAATACCTTAATTTTTTCATTATTAGACAGAGCACAGCTGAAGAAACTATCTTTAAGTATATCCCAATACAAACCTCCAAAATTAAAAGCAAAGAAAAGTAAGACTAGAGGAAAAAAACCAAAACAGAACAGGATAGCCAAGAACTTTGTGATAACTACGCGTGTATAATGGAAATACTTGAAGGGGAGAAAGAAAGGAACAAAAGAAATATTTGAACTAATAAGCATGAAAGTTTTTCTTGAATGAATGTCAGACAATAAACTACAGACCTAGGAAGCTCAGAAAACACTAAGAAGGAAAATTTCCAGAAAAACTACGCATAGATTTGTTATTTTCAGACTGCAGAAAATCAAAGATGAAGAAAACATCCTGTAAGAAGCCAGAAAAAAAAAAAACAAAAAACAAAAAACAAAAACAAAAAAAACCCTTATGTATAGAGGAGCAAAAGATTACAACAGACTTCTCTTCAGAAACCATGCACTCCAGAAGACAGTGGACTGAAATATTTAAAGTGTTAAGAGAAAAACACCTCCAACTTAAAATTCTGTACCCTGTGCAATTATCTCTCAAAAGTTAAGTTGAAATAAAGACATTGTCGCACAATAAAAAACTGAGGGACTGTGTTGCCAGTACACCTGTCTTTCAAGAAATGTCAAAAGAAGTTTGTTAGAGAGAAGGAAAAGGATATAGGTCAGAAACTTGGATATAAAGAAGGGAGAACATCAGAGAAGAAATCAGTTAAGGTAAAATAAAAACAGTTTTATTCTAAATTGATTTAATAGAAAACAGTTTGTTCCAAACAATAATGGCACAATGTGTTTAATAGTATTTAATTTACATGCTTATTCATATGTTTATGTATGATTACACATAAGTGGAGTAAATGACAGCAATGACACAATGGATAGGAAGGAAGAATGAGGGTTATTCTGGTATTATTTGGTACTCTTACTGTCTGTGAAGTTATAAAGTGTTATTTAAATGTAAATTTGGATTTGTTCTAAATGTATATTGCAAACTCTAGGAAAACCACTAAATGTTTTAATTAAAATGGTACAACTAATAAACTAATAAATAAGATAAAATGAAATTATATAAAATGCTCAATTAAAACATAACAGGAAGACAAAAAGAAGAAGACAAACATAGGATCAAAGAACAAGGGCAGCAAATAGAAAATAGTAACAAATATGGTAATATTAATTCAATTACACTAGTAATCACTTTTAATGTCAATGATCAAAATGCATCAATTAAAAGATCAAAATTAGCTGGGCATGGGGCTGATGTCTGTCATCCCAGCACTTTGGGAGGCCAAGAAAGGAAGAATGTATGAGTCCAGGAATTCGAGACCAAACTGGGCAACAAAGTCAGACCCCATCTCTACAAAAATTCTAGTATTAGCCAGGTATGGTGGTGTACACCTGTGATCCCAGCTACGTGGAAGGCTCAGGCAGGAGGATCCCTTGAGCCCAGCAGGTTGAGGCTACAGCGAGCCATGTTCAAGCTACTGCTCTCCAGCCTAGGTGGCAGAGTGAGACCCTGTCTCAAAAAATATTAATAATAAGATTGTTGGTGAATTAAAACATTGGCACCCCTGAATATGAAACATGAGGTAAAAATTTAATAAAAGATTTAATAAAATATTTTTTAAAATGTTTTCAATTTCAAATTCCACTTGTTCATTGCTGATTTAAAAATAATTAGACTGAGGAATTAATGCTAATATTAATCAAAAGAAAGTGGGAGTTACTATATTTAAAACACAGCAGTCTTCAAAGCAAGAAAATTGATCAAGGATTAAAAAAACACCTTACATAATAATGAAAGGATCAGTTCTCTTATTGTCCCTTGAAAAACATAACAATTCTTAATACGTAAGCTTTTAAGAATGGAGTGTCAAAATATGTTAGGAAAAAATAATAGAACTTCAAAAAGAAATGAAGTCCTCAACATGGTCAACAGGTTCCTGGAAACTAGTAAATTTAAGTGAAATTTTATATTGTATAATGAAACCAATTTTACCACAGATAATTGGTGTAAACAAGAGTTAAGTTCCTATGGCATACAGTGTGTTGTTTTGCTTAATGTCAGTTTCTAAGAACCTATTGACAATAAGTGGACAATTAATGTAAAGGAATCCATAATTGTGTTAGGAGACTTCAAAATGCCTCTATCAGAAATGGGCAGATCTAGCAGGCAAAAATCAGTAAGGACATAGTTTAACTCAATGACACTATCAATCAACAGCATATAATGAACACTTGTAGACTACTCCATCAAACAGCAACAGACTACAAAGTCTTCCCAAGCTCACATAGATTATTCATTGAGATAGACCACATTCTGAGATATAAAACATATCTTACCAAATTTAAAAGAATGGAAATCATGCAATGTATTTCCTCAGACCACAGTGGAATTAAACTAGAGATCAATAACAGAAGACAACTGGAAAATCTTAATATATGTGAAGATGAAACAATACACTTCTAAGAAACGTATGAGTCAAAGTGAAATCTCATGAGAAATGTAAACATATTTGAAATAAGAGAAAATAAAATTACAGTATCAAAAGTTATGGGATACCACAAAAGCAGGGTTAGAGAAAAATTTGTAGCATTAATGCATATATTTAAAATGAAGGAATATCTGAAATTTATGTCTTAATCTTTTACCTTAACAAAGTAGAAAAAGAAGAGTAAATTAAATTCAAAGTAAGCAGAAGGAAAGAAATGATGAAAAGTACAGCACATATCAATGAAATTTAAAACAGAACATGAACAGAGAAAATCAACAGAAACAAAAGCTATTCCACTGGAAAAAAAATAGTAAAATTGATGAGCCCCTTGCCAGGCTAATGGAGATAGAAAGAAAAACACGATTTATAAATATCAGAATTGAAAGATGGAACATCACTGCAATCCCATTGACCTTAAAAGGATAAAAAAAAAAGGAATAGCATGAACAGCACTATGGCCCCAATTTTATTAACCTCAACGAAATGGACCAATTCCTTGATAGATACGATCTACCTAAATTCACACAAGAAGAAATAGACCATCTGAATAGGCCCATATCTGCTAAATAAATGAATCAATAATTCATAACCTTTTAAAATGGAAATCACCAAACCAAGATGGGCTCATGGATGAATTCTATCAAACACTCACGTAAGAATTTATACCAATTCATTATAATCTCCTTCATAGGATAGAAGCAGCAGGAATAGTTCCTGTCTCATCCCATGAGGTCAGCATTATCCTAATACACAAAGCAGACAAACATATTACAAGAAAAGAAAACTACAGAGCAATAAATCTCACAAATACAGATGCAAAGATTCTCAAAAATAGCTAATTGAATCCAACATTATATAAAAAATTATATGCAACAACAAAGTGGAATGCATTTCAGGTTTACAAGACTGGTTCAACATTCAAAAATGAATTATATAATTCGTTATATTAACAGGATAAAGATGAAAAAAAATCACAGGATCACATCAGAAAATGCAGAAATGCATTTGAGAAAACCAAACACATTCGCGACTAAAACTCTCATTAAACCAGGAATAGAGAACTTTATCAATCTGATTTTAAAAAATCTGCCAAAATCCTACACTTATCATACTTAACGTCAAAGAACCCAAAGATTTTCTGCCAAGGTCAGGAACAAGACAATCAGTCACCTCCCATGACTGATTTTCAACATGGTACCGGAAATCCTAGTTAATGTGATTTAAAAAAAAATGAAAAGGGAATGAAATGTATACAGGTTGAAAGGAAATATATACAGGTTGAAATGTATACTAGTACCAGAAATCCTAGCTAATGTGATTTAAAAAAAAAAAAATGAAAAGGGAATGAAATGTATACAAGCTGAAGGGAAGAAACAAAACTGTCTTTTTATTTTTATTTTATTTTTTACATATGTGTATGTAGAAAGTCTCAAATAATAGACAAAAATACCCTGGAACTAATAAGCTATTATAGTAAGATTGCAGGATACAAGATGAATATAACAAAATGAAAAGTTTTCCTATATATTATCAATGAACAAGTGGAATTTGAAATTAAAAACACATTACTATTTACATTGGTAACCCTGAATACAAAACATGAGGTAAAAATTTAACAAAATATATACAAAAGCTGCATGCAGAACACTATAAAATTCTGATTAAATAAATCAGAGAACTATAAAAATGAAGTGATATTCCATGTTCACATACAGTATAGAAAGACTCAATATT